ATGTCCTGCATGCAATGAGTCTCCGCATGACACTGACCACCTCTTTGCATGCCCAACCAACCCCACCCATCTAACACCCCTTTCCCTTTGGTCCGACCCCGTCGAAACAGCATGTTTCCTGGGCCTCCCGTTAGATGACATCGACGACAACACTGATAACCCTCACCATCCCAACGGGGACTGATAATCGTTACAACAACAACAACAACGTCCTACTTACCGATTTTCCATTTTGTGCTGCTTCCAATAATTTTTTTGGTCCAAATTTTTTAATGTAATTCTTCACAAAGGACGTTAGCGTACAATTAATTTCCTTGACTTTCCTTGACTTTTCTATAGCACATTTTACATTCCATTTTATAACACAATTAACGTTCTGATATTCACATTAAACTCATAACACGTTTTAAACATACATAAATATTTGCACATTTAATGGCTAGTTATAGGCAATTAAATCACTTTTATTAAATCTTAGTTTCAACTGCTGGCAAACTGAAGTTGACGTTCGGTAACGGAAATGCTTGTTGTGAAGTTTGTTTACATTAGAATGTTAGGCTGTTCCTTGTTGTAATAATGACGGCGGTGAATTTCGCAAAGATTTAATGATGCTTGTTAGTAGCGTATTTTATAGTTCCTCTGACAAATAAAAAAAATTTGTTTGTATTTATAAATGTAACACCGATTACTCTAATTTTTGTACTCTATTGGTAGTATACACTCAAAAACGACGTTGTGAAAGGCGTACATATTGTATTTTTGTAAATAAGAGGAAATTCAAAAGTGTTGATTATGACAATAAATGATTTGTTGACGCTAAAATATACTACTTCAGGCTGCAGCGAAGCAAAAATAACAATAAAGCAAAAAGAGATGAACTCAAGTTACACCAATACTAGTAAATTACTGTTCAAACACATGCATACATATGTAGCATGAGCACACACTTATGAAATAGCAAGATGTAGGAGGTAGCGAATTTGCAAATAAGCAACACAAACAAACAGTAGGAATGAATTAAATGTATTATCACCTTAACGATGCGTCTGTTGCTGGTCGTAGAGGCTGCAGAGCACACAATGTGCTTACAGGTTCAAAATTAGCCGGCGCATTTTTAGTTTAATTTACGCAAAGATTTACTGTTTTCGTCCAAAGTGAAAATGTGTTTGAAACTAAGAAAAGGAGATATTCAACATTTGTGTGTGTGTGTGTAAAGCAGAAAGTTAAATAAAAAAGTCATAAAAAATAAAATTAAAAATACATACATATGTATATAAAAAATATATAAATTATAAAAAAATATTAAAAATAATTAATAAAATAATAAAAACATTATAAAAGATATGTACAAAAAATACATAAAGTTAAATTGCATGCATTTTGTAGCGGAAAGCGGCATTTTAACCAGCTTTAGCCTAAAAAAAATACGGGCAAACATACATACATAATTTATTACAGTCATATAACAAATTTAAATGAAGAAGAAATGTACCATCACTTTCAGCTAACCAAGTGTGCCAATAAAATTGATAATTGACTTTAGATAAACATTTGAGGGCGCAGTTAAGGAGTTGGTTATTTTACAAACATAAGTATGTGTGTACATTGAAATCTACGAGTATAAACAAAATCAACTGGCCTTCAAGGACACCTGTGACGTATGTCTGTGCCATAGGAGTGCTAGACTAACCCTTAGGATGATTGCAGACATAAAATACGGGTGTATGACAATTGATGTATGTATGTATTTAGCATACATAAATACCCAAAATTTTTGTTATAAAAAAATTGTCAAACTTATCTAAGGTGTCTTACTTATAATTGATTTGTGTTGTAAATATATTTTTTTAAATAAATGTCAATTTTTTAACTAATATATTTCAAAAACAAAATTTCGCATATTATTTGCATTAGAGTGGTGCAATATTTAAATTGATTTTAATGGATGACTACCGATCAATCAGATAGCGAAAAAAAAAGTTATTATAAGCACTTATGTGTCTGTTTTAATTTCCCTCAAGACCTAGAAATTAAGTACTCACTTAAGGCATTCATAGACAGGTTAACAAGTGCGTGCGTAGGTATTCAAATTAATGCGTAATTTGCATGTAAATTTCCGCCGACAAAGATTTTTATTACAGATTAGTAATTTCTATTAATTAATTGTTACTAAATTTTTAAGTTGCGCACTAAATGCAAAAAGGAAGTGTCTTATGATTTTTATGTGTTAGTTGTTGACAGCCTTTTTAAAATATTTCAAACGAAAGCAAATTGTGATTTTTTTTAAGATTTACTTGAAAAAGTGACGTTGTCTGATAACTAATATTTAAATTAGTTATAATTAATATAAGATTTTTTTTAGTTTTAAATTGATCAATAAATTTAAATGTACATACATACAAACATATACATATGTA